GTCCAAGATGATTATCTTGAGGAACACCAGAAGTAACGTGAACCCGTTTAGAGGTAGTCAGCCTCAGCATTACTCTTTGGGTCCTACCTTTTAAATTAGAATTAATCCAAAGTAAAAGAGACAGAGGAAAACCTATTCGGTCAAGTTTTAAAAGTAAAATGTCATGGTGCACAATCAAATGCCTTACTAAAGTCAGTGTAAATGACATCAGTTTGCATTTTCGAAACGAAAGCATCATTTACCAAGGAAGTAAACTCAAGCAGATTGCCCCTGTAATTTTGTATATCAAACTTCCCACCTTTCTTGTGAAGAGGAATGATATAAGATTCTTTCCAAACAGATGGAAGGACAGATGTTTCAAGGGATAGATTAAAAAGCTTTAGCAATGGATAAAGAAGGGAAGAACTACACTCCTTGAGTAGACAACTAGGAATATTGTCCGGCCCAGGAGAGTAAGAAAATTTTTAAGAGATTATAGCTAATAGGAGAGAGGAGCGTGAAATAATGGGGGGAGGTATAGAACTAGCGGAAGAAATAGTATAAGGGTAAGAATTAGTATTAGGACAGACTGAAGAGTAAGTTGATTGGAAAAAATTAGCAAAAAGGTTAGCAGAATCAGTGTCATTGCTAGCTTTACCCATCCCAAGAGAAAAAGAAGATGGCAAACTTGCAGATTTACGCTTCAAGTTTACAAAATTATAAAACTGTCTCGAATTTTTAACAAATTGCCTTTTACAACGAATTAGATAATTCTCATAGCATTGAGAATAAAGAAGAAAGAAGTTCGACTTGGCTATGGAATATTTAGCCAAGTCTGTACACGAACCAGACTTTTTAAACTTTTTAAAATATTTGGATTTTACATTTTTTAGATGTAATAATCTGGGAGTAAACCAGGGTGGTTTTGGAAAAGTAGTCGAAGGAATTGACTTATGAATACACACATCTAAGAGGGAGCTTAGGGTGATATAACAAAAATTAATGACTGTATTCAAATCAACTGAATCATATAAGAAAGACCAATCGGTTGCATAAATAGGCTGATTCAGCAAAGAATAATTTCCTTTGCGAAAGCAACAGCAGAGCTTATTGGCTGATGAGCACGAAATGAAAGGATTACAATTGAGCATTGCAATCTCTAAAGTAGGATGATAGACATCCTGAGGAAGAGATAAAGGAGGGCACCTAGACACATTAGAAATAAAGTAGTCGTTAACAAATACAAGGTCAAGTGTTCTATTAAAATGATTAGAAATTGAATTGATTTAAAACAACGAAAGATCAAGCATGCAGTCTATAAAATCGTGCTGTGCTGAGGGCACTAGATAATTTTCAGCAGTGAATAATGACCACGAGATGTTCGGCAAATTAAAATCACCTAACAACATTAATAGATCATTATCACGCACGTGTGAAGAAACTTCTTTAATAAAAGTAATATGTTTCATATAAACTTGAATATCAGAAGAAGGTGGGACATAATAGCATGTTACAAAGATATTCCGTGTAGGAAAAGACACCTTAACTGAGACAATCTCAGCGTCAGTAGGCGTACTAAAACAGAATAGTTCAGACTGGAGAGTGGCTTTAACGGCAATTAACACCCCACCACCTCGAGTCGGCCGATCATTTCTAAACAAAATAAAGTTATTCGGTAAAATCTCAAAATCAGATATGGTTGAGTTTAACCATATTTCTGAAAATGCTATTATATCCGAATCGAAGGAAGTGCTGGCCATGAGAAGATTTTTAAGCTTTGAAATGAGACTTCTGACATTTTGATAATGAATAAAGATTTGGTGAAGATGAAGCTAGTTTTTTGGGGCAGAAATGGTACCCTGTATTAAAGGGATTGGAAGGTGACAGGGTGGTTACGCGTTTTAGGCTTGAACTCGGGAACAATCATGGGTGGAGGCCAAAATTTGGGTTCACATATGATTGGGAACATATCATGTGAAACATTTATTTTGAATGATGATATTTCACGAGGGGTGGAGAAATTAAATTTGGTTATTGACACGCTAGCAGAAGATTTGCTAGCAATATAGGCTGCCAATGACTTAGAAGAGGTGTCCGACGAAAGTCGAGACACAAAAACTTGCTTACGAGGGGCAACTACCGTTAAAGTAGGCGCTGATGGGGCTGTAGGTAATACAGGAGTTAGAGGAGCTAAAGAGGCACAATGATTGTTTTTAACAATCTGGGCAAGATTGCGCGCAGGTCTACCTTTGCGGCCAGGAGCTGAAGGGGCTGAGGTAGTTTGATTAACTGGGACGGGATCAGGTACGGGCTCTACTTGGACTACTACAGGGGTTGAAACAGGGATAATTGGACAGTCGCTTGGAGAAGGCGATAAAGACAGCATTGGAGATACATCCAGGTTGCTAGGAAGGGACAAGAAAGTCGTAGGTGTCTGAACAGACGTAGAGGGCAATTGCAAAAGTTGAGGCTCCAACCGGCGATTGGTTGGGGACTCAAATTTATATTTGCCAAGCAACTCGAAACTAGAGTCAAAATAACTCGAGAGCTGCTTAGCCACATCATTAAATTTAAAGAATTGATTTCAAACAGAATTATACATTCTGGAGAAATCAATTTGCTTGTCGATGCATTCTGGGCACGATCAACGTAAGCCACCGCAGCCCTTCTTGGCAATTGCAGCGATCTTGTCGCAATCACGCCCAGTGAGACCTGCACATTTAGCATGCATCATATCCTCACACAGCCAGCAATTAACAAATTGCGGCAGTGCAGAATCATCAGCCTGCTTGAACGAGCACGGTTTCTTACAGCACGACATAATTATTAAATGTGTATGCAAGTTGCGAGAGCGCAGAGCAAAACGAAAACGGTGCACAAGATAGAGCAAGTAAACACTCAAAAAACAATTATTCGTACACAAATAAATTGTTTTGAGCGAAAAGCAATAGAAAAAATTTGCGAGAGCGCGATGCACAAGCAGAAAGTATGCAGCGAACACACGCACAAACAAGTGTATGCACAGCAAAGCAAACAAATCAGAACAGACAATAAAAACAACACGGAACTGACGCCGCGTCTTATAAATGCAATAATTAACAGACTTACGCTGCACAACAGATAACACTTTACACAGTTTATAAAAGCTTTTTAAATAAAGCACTACAAAATGCAAAATTTTGAAATAAAAAGCAGGATTAAAGCGCAAAAATATATTTTGGTAAATAACAAGCACTAGAGTCACCAGACAAATAGCTTCTAAAATAGAATATATATATGCATATGATGTTGGAAGAGGAGGGTTCAGGGTATCCCCTAGTCGGGAGCTCCCGACTAGAACCTCTTACATGTTTATTTTAGACTTCAATATATTGCATTAGCTTAATAATAAGGATATAATTCCGTTAGTTCAACATGATAGTAATGACAATTAATAATATAATAAGTCCATTGGTTTGACATCCGAACAGCGCTAAAAGTTAATACTATAATAGTTCCATTCGGCATTAGCGTATGTAAGGCAATATGGCCACTGCCCAAATAATTGTGACCGCGTCTCACTGTTCCGACGATGTGTTTGCATTTTTGAGTATTTGTGGTTGAAATTTATGATTGCAATCTCGGTATCTCGCATCAAATATTTTGAAAAAGAGCTCTTGATCCAAAAGCACTCTCTGTCTGTTTTTTACTCAAGGTTCTAAACGCTGGAAAAATAAACTGGAAGATGTTACTAGCAAAGTTTTGCTAATATGCCAACTCTTATTATATTACCTTTACCATGAGCTTATCCAAGCTAAAGAAACAAATAAAAAATGTGTTCTTCATTACCCACGTATTTGCGGCAACTAGCGCAAATTGCAAGAATTACGAAATACAAGTACACATACCCATTAAAGCGCTCTTCTTTGAATTCTATCAACATCATCGCAATTGCGAATGCAATGTTTTCCGTGCTTTTATTTTAATGTGTTTAGTTTGTTTTCATTAAGACTCAAGAGTTGGTTTGGCTGTTGGGTAGAGGCATAGCAAGTAGTGCGATCTGTTGCGAGCTCGAACCCCAGCGAGGAACTATGATTTTTTCCTGGTGTGACTGTGGAGTAGAGGAAAGTTGTGTGGTTAATTTCGAGTCCAAACTTTTTTTTTCTTTATTACTTCGAAAGCAAACTAGCGCCAAGCGGGAGCTGCATTTGGTGTTGGAATAAAAGGGTTCAGAGTATCCCCTAGTCGGGAGCTCTGGACTAGAATCCCCCACTAGTTTTTCATATAGATCCTTGGGGTTGAATTTTAGTGCGCAACGTCGTCCACATCTTTGAACCAAATTTGCACTAAGGGAGATGGTAAAAAACACCCATCAGATGAATATTTACAAAGATATTTCAAAATGTTTTTGAAGCCGGTCGGATAATTAAACACTCATGTGGGTAGATTTTGCCAAATCCCCGAAACACGTATTCGTTAAGTTCTTATGTAAAGCTCTAAAAATAAGTTTGAAGCAAATCGGACATAACCTAAAACTTCGCCCAGAAAAACTTTGAAATTATTTCCCACCAAAGTAAGCTTGGATTTTGCGAAAAGTAGGAAACACGTGTCATATTACCCTGAACCCATTAACAATAGATAAAAAAGTATGTAACGGGCAGAAGAAAGCATTAACGACCCCATAAAGTATATATATTTTTGATCTATATAAAAAATTATTAAAGGCGTGCTTCGTATATTTCGCAAAATCATTTTCATATATACGCTATACACAATTTTTGTTTGATTCCATTCATATTTTATGTTGTCGGTAAGTTCAAGTGGCAAAATTACGGCTTACTTTAATTAGTTTTAACAATTCTTTTAAATATTGAAAATTTCATCACGCTTCTAGTTAAATATTAAAATTAAGCTACTGTAACATCGAAGAGCTGCAAAAAATGGAAGTGTGCTTCATAACGGAATAGGCTATAAGTTTTTTTAAAATGTGATATAATAATGCATCTGTTTGAAAGCTTACTGTGGTTTTTACATTTATATAGACGCTCCAACTTGTGCTCAGAACCAGCCGAAAGTTTATGGTGTTGCAAAACAGGAAGAAGCACAAATAAAGTGCGTCGTTGACGCCAATCCGCATGAAGTAGATTTCAGTTGGACCTTTAACAACTCTGCAGAGAACGTTGATGTTGCGACAAATCATATATATCGCATGGGTAATTTTTTTGCTGCATTTAATGATCAATTTCCTTATAATGCTCTTACATTTTTTTTAGGTACCACATCGATTTTAACGTATACTCCATTTACTGAACTGGACTATGGTACACTACTTTGTGTTGCCACAAATAAGATTGGCAGACAGCGAGTCCCATGCATATTTCATATAATTGCAGCAGGTATAATAGAAAATTAATATTATTTCTTATGCAATACATATATATATATATATATAGTGACATATCCATAGTCTCACCCACCCTTTAACATAACTTAGCACATAAGCATAAGCACAAGTATAAACATTTCTAATATTGTAAACAAAGAGCATGGTGATAAGATCGACATTGGTCAAGTTCAAACTGTCCCCCTTTGGTAGACATAAACAATTCACCCTAAATTTCACGCCACTGTCAATGTTCCGATCAGAGCACTATCCCACTCATAATTGCTGACGCAGCTCAAACTTCACTCAATTTTGACTCAAACTCTCTCAAAGCGAAGTTTGCCAAGCGACCGCAACAGTTAGATAAATCAGTTCATATTCGGGAAGCAAATCTGAATGTACTCAACAAAAGCAGCCGTTAGTGAAAATAATAAATTGAAATATATTTTTTTATAGTAACTTAACGTGTAAAACTTAATTGGCGCAGCTGGTAGGATACGTCGGGAAAAAGTAAAGAACGCTAAAGGATAATTAATTCCCAGATCTAACGCACAATCGCGACCGAAATTGTTGTCGGAGTGTAACAAACATTTTCTCGAATATTATCCACACAAGAACCTTCGGGTCACTAGTAGTCTAATAACATTGACCCTTTGGGCAATAAAGCTACTACAGTTAATAACGACTGGCTTTGCATATCTTTTGATCCCTGCAATACGTTATTACTGGGTCTTTTTAAGACACACACAAAAAAAAAAAACATTAAAACAATAATCCATCACAAACTATAATCTAAATTAAAAAGAAAGTGCAAAGAAATAAAAGTGCAAAATCAAAGAACAAAAAAGTTCAAAAACTACAAACTCAAAACTATTTAAAACAAAAATCACCTAACGAAAATAAAAAGTGTATTACACCAAGATGCCCATGGAATTATCAGAACAACACCTCAACCAGGCCCTTTCACAACTAAGACAGGTGCCACGCTTTGACGGATCAACAGAAAATCTAAACGCTTTCATTAAAAGGATCGATTACATCCTACACCTTTATCCAACCCGAGATGTTAGACAACACAGCATCTTATACGGAGCCATCGAATTGCAAGTCACTGGAGATGCTCAGAGAATTTCACAAAGGATAGCAGCCAACACATGGCAGGAGCTGAAAAACGCATTGGTTGAAGAATACAAAGTGCAGACACCATTTGAAGAACTCCTTCGACGCTTATAGAACACGAATTACCAAGGAAACGTCCGTAAGTTCATCGAGGATCTCGAAAATAAATCTTTTGTTATATTAAATAAGAGCATTCGAAAATATACCTAGCAATACGACACTTTATACAAATGTTATGAATAACACAATCAAAGATGTTATTACAAACAAATTACCAGATAGGCTTTTAATGATGTTAGCCAGTACGACATTACGTCGACACAAAAACTAAAGCAAGTAGGTCAAAGAGAGGGATTATATGAAAATAGCGTTACTGAAAAGCCTAAGAATAATAATGTTCAGGGAAATCAAAATAACAATCGTAGGAACATGGGAAATTATCAGCAAAGTGCTAACCCAACCACCAGTTCAAGTGGTTATTTCAACACGAATCAGAGGTAACACGCACAATATAAACAGCATAATAAATCCGAAGACAATCAGAAAGCTCACCACGAGTTCCAACAGAAATTAAGTCAAGGTTGATCCCAAAATCCTTTAAGCTATCAAAATCAGTCCCATTCACGCTTGAATGCGCCAAACCCTCCGAAAAAACGTCAAAGAGATAGCAACAGTGGGCAGATGAAAATGGAAACATCCGAAAATTTTCATCAGCAAGCCTCGGAACAAACAGAAGAAATCCATTCATAAAATTGATTATGAATGACGAATTTTTAAAATGTGTCATTGACACAGGTTCAACCATAAATCTAATGATAACAAACCGCTTAAATTTTTCAATTTACAATGAAACATTAAAGGTTTACACCATAAATGGTGTTATTGAACTAAAACAAAGCATACGATTAGGAGCAAGCAAAATTTGTCCGAGTAAACAAAAATTCTATATTCACGACTTCTCAGAGCATTATGATGTTCTGATTGGGAGAGAATACCTTGAAGTATGTCAAGCAAAAATAGGCTATGCACAAGGATCCGTAACCTTAGGAGAATTTAACTTTTGTTTTAGATATAATGACGAAGAGGTCGAAGAGGACATGACCGTACAAGAGTGCCTTGATCCACCCCCAACAGAGGACAGACCATTTAACTTCGCTATTAATAACGAATTAATAGAAAACAATGAGCTTAGGCTAGAGCACCTAAACTCAGAAGAAAGAGAAAAAATTAAAAAAGTTTTACATGAATTTCGTGAAATCCAGTACCATGAAGGTGACAATTTTACTTTCACTAGTACAATTAAACACAAAATTCTAACAAAACATGAGGACCCAATTTACAAGCGTCCATACAAATATCCTCAAATATACGATGAGGAAGTAAATAAACAAATAAGCGATATGATAAAACAAAATATCATACGTAAATCCAAATCCCCTTACTGCTCACCAGTAATAATCATTCCAAAGAAAAACGATGCATCTGAAGAGCAAAAGTTCCGGTTAGTCATAGATTACCGCAATCTCAATGAATTAACTATTAATGATAAATACCCTATCCCGATCATGGATGAAATATTTGACAAACTTGGAAAATGTTAATATTTCACAACCATTGATCTAGCCAAAGGCTTCCACCAAATCCAAATGGATCCGGGTTCAATACCCAAGACCGCATTTTCGACTAATCATGGCCATTACGAGTACACTCGCATGCCATTCGGTCTTAACAATGCACCTGCAACGTTCCAATGTTGTATGAACAATCTCTTAGAAGATTTAATTTTTAAGGATTGTCTGGTCTACTTAAACGACATTATTATTTTTTCCACTTCATTGGAGGAACACATTTTGTCGCTACAAAAAGTATTTAAGAAGCTTAGAGAAGCTAACTTAAAACTACAGTTGGAAAAATGCGAGCTTATGAGGGTATAAAACCAAATCCCAACAAGATGCAAGCAATTGTCAAATTCCCAATTCCAAGAATCCCAAAAGAAACTAAATCATTTCTAGGATTATGTGGTTTCCATAGGAAATTTATACCAAATTTCGCTAATATAGTAAAACCATTAACACTTAAATTAAAAAAGGGAGCAAAAATCAATATAAATGACAAACGCTACGAATTAGCGTTTGAAAAGCTATAAGTACTCATAACATCTGACCCAATATTAATATACCCTAACTTCGAAAAACCATTTTCATTAACTACAGACACGAGTAATATGGCAATAGGGGCCGTCCTTTCGAAAGAGCATAAGCCTATATGCTATGCAAGTAGAACTCTGAACGAGCATGAGATAAATTATTCAACGATTGAAAAAGAATTATTAGCAATCGTTTGGGCCACTAAATACTTTAGGTCCTATCTCTTTGGTCGACAATTTCAAATCCTTAGTGATCACAGACAACTCGTCTGGTTAAATAACATGAAAAAACCTAACATGAAATTACAACGATGGAAAATCAAGCTAAATGAGTTTGATTTCCAAATTAAATACGTCCCAGGAAACGAAAATTATGTGGCAGATGTTCTGTCCAGAATTCAATAAAACGAAAACTTCTTAGGCGAAGGTACAATTAGCACAAGAGCAACCATACATAGTGCTCAAGAAGACAACAGTAACAATTTACAAATAAAGAAAGACCTCTTAATTATTATAATCGATAAATAGAATTTGAAAAAAAGAAACCGTGAACGAAACAAAAGTGACGAATTACTTTCATAAAATCAACATAAAAATTACATACAAAGACATGACTAACGCGCATGCCAAAGAATTAATAAAAGAATACTTATGGACAAAGGAAAGTGTGCTATACTTCCACAACGAAGCAGATTTTCCAATTTTTCAAGAAGCCTACTTAGAAATAATAAGTCCGAATAATTCAACAAAGGCAATGAAAACTAGTACAAAACTAATAGACCTTCAAACATACGCAGAATTAAAAGAATTAATATTAAAAAAGCACAAAGAATTATTACATCCAGGAATTGAAAAAACTATCAATTGGTTCAAAGAAACCCACTATTTCCCAGATTATCAAAATTTAATTCAAAATCTAATAAATGAATGTGAGATTTGCAACATCGCAAAAACAGAACACAGGGATACAAAATTAACTTTCGAAATAACTCGGGAAATCACTAATATCCGAGAAAAATATGTAATGGATTTTTACATATTAGGAGATAACCAATTTTTATCTTGCATTGATATCTATTTGATAAAATTTGCATCATTAATAGAAATAAAACGTAGAGACTGGTTAGAAACCAAACGAGCTATATTACAAGTGTTCAACCAAATGGGTAAACCCATCAAAATAAAAGCAGACAAAAACTCAGCTTTTATGTGCACAGCTTCATAATTATGGCTTAAATCAGAAGCAGTAAATATCAATATAACCACTAGTTAAAATGTTATATCCGACGTAGAATGATTTCATAAGACAGTTAACGAAAAATTAAGAATCATTAACAGCGACTCAGATGTCGAAAATAAACTTACAAATTTTGAAACTATACTCTACACGTACAATCATAAAACAAAGCATAAAACGACTAACAGAACACCAGCGAACATATTAATATACGCAGGTACACCACAGTATGACACTCAAGCTAATAAAGAAAAACTAATAAATAACCTCAATAAAAAACGAACAAATTATGAAATTGACACTAGATACAAACAATCACCATTAGTTAAATCAAAAACGACAACCCCGTTCAAGAATACAGGAGAAATAAGACAAATCGACGACAAACATTTTGAGGAAACAAACAGAGGCAGGAAAATAACACATTACAAAACCAAATTCAAAAAGAAAAAGAAGACTAATCAAAGCAAATATAACAATTACAGGTCAACAACAGACAGCGATCAAAACA